CATTTTCTCATAGGAAATATGTTTTATTAACAATTCGATAATGACCTTTAATCCTCGCTCAGGAAAAAAAATTAAAAGTCTTGACTGTAATTCTGTTTTATGTCTCCTTTGTTAGTAATTACTAATCTGACTTATATTGTCATACTCATTCATCCAAGGTCAAATACAAATAGCATTAAGTTTTTGTCTTATGCATAGCTGCTAAAAAGATAATGAAATATAAAGCCATAATCATTTAAGAAAAGCATTCTGATTACAGGAAATAACTAGCAGTTGGAGCTGAGGTATTGTCCTTTCTTACACTGAGTTGAAATGTGTGTTTCTGTAACAGGATTTTCTAACAATTAGGCTCCTACTATAAAGCTGGCTTTTTTGTGAATTGTCTAGTGAGGGCTGAAAGCTAGTAAAAAGCATTTAAATGGTGGAGGTGGGACATCATGTCCTTTCAGCAGTACTTCCTACCTTCTAAAAGCTCATGATTCTAGAGTGGATATCTGAATAGTCCCTGTCAGAGTCTCATTATACCTGAAATTTCTAAAGCAGAGGTGGACTAATGACACAGTAAATAAAGAAAAAGATGAAGATGCATTTAATTGGTGTAAAGAATAAAAAGACTGTGTGGGTTTTTTTGTTTGCCTGTTTCATGCAGGCAATAAATGTAGTACCAATCCCATGTAAATCTCAAAGCCAATCCATTTATCACAACAAAAAGTGAATAACTGTCTATGGCCATGCCACCCTGAACACGCCCAATCTTGTCTGATCTCAGAAGCTAAGCAGGGTTGAGTCTGGTTAGTACTTGGATGGGAGACCACCTAGGAAGACCAAGTGCTGTAGGTGATTAAAAAAAAAAGTGAATAATTAACTAAAAATTATTATTGAGAGGGATAATTTCAGATGAAGAAAGTGGTTTCTTTTTACAAAGAAAAGTGCTTGTTTAAAATTATTTCCATTTGATGCTAACAAACCAGGAACTATAGTATATGATGTGGGATGAAAATAAAGATTTGACAGTTTTGACATACTGAACACTATAAAACATTGTTGAAAGAAATTAAAGATGACCTAAATAAATGGAAAGACATCCCATGTTCCTGGATCAGATGATTTAATTGTTAAGATGGCAATCTTCCCAAATTGATCTATAGTTTCAACGCAATTCCCATCAACATTCTAGCTGGCTTCTTTTGAGAAATTGACAAATTGGCCCTATTCATATGGAAATGTAAAGGACCCAGAAAGCCAAAACAATCTTGAGAAAGAGAAACAAAGTTGAAGGACTCATACTCCAATTTCAAAAAGTTCTACAAGAGCTACCGTAATCAAGTCAATGTGTACTGGCATAGGGACAGACATTTAGATCAATGGAATAGAATTAAGAGTCCAGAAATAAACCCTCACATTCGTGGTCAACTGATTTTTTTTTCAAATGCCTACAGCACCTGGTATTCCAAGGTGGTCTCCTATCCAAGTACTAACAAGGCCTGACCCTGCTTAGCTTCCAAGATCAGATGAGATCAGGCATGTTCAGGTTGGCATGGTCGTAGATTTTTGACAAGAGTGCCAAGACCATTCAAGAGGGAAAGAATCGTCTTTTCAACAAATGGTACTGGGACAACTGGATATCCACACAAAGAATAAACTTGTACCCCTACCTCATACCATACAGGAAAATCAACTCAAAATGGATAAAAGCCTAAATGTAAGAGCCAAAAATGTAAAACTTAATACAAAACTATAAAATGTTTTCTCAGAAGAAAACATAAATATAAATAATCTTGGATTTAACTATGGATTCTTAGATATGATACCCAAAGCACAAGCAACCAAAGAAAAAATAAATGAGACTTCACCAAAATTAAAAACCTTTCTGTTTCAAAGGACATCTTCAAGAAAGTGATAAGATGACCTATGAATGAAAGAAAATATTCGCAAGTCATATATTTGATAAGGAACTTCTAACTAGAATATATAAAGAATTTTTACAACAAAATAATATAAAAATAAATAACTCAATTACAATATGGACAAATGATCTGAATGACATTTCTCTGAAGAAGAATTATAAATGGCCAATAAACACATGAAAAGATGCTCAACATCATTAGCCATAGGGGAAATGCAAACGAAAACCCTAATGAAATACCACTTCATACCCACTAGGATGGGTGTAATCAAAACCAGGGGTCCCTAACCTCCAGGCCACAGACTGGTGCTAGTCAGTGGCCTGTTAAGAACCGGGCCGCCTAGCAGGAGGTGAGTGACAGGCAAGCAAGCAGAGCTTCATCTGTACTTGCAGCTACTCCCCAGCTCCATCATTGCCTCAGCTCCACCTCAGATCATCAGGCATTAGATTCTCATAGGAGCACTGGTCCCTGGTGCCAAAGAGGTTAGGGACTGCTGATCAAAAGGACAGACAATAACAAATGTTGTCAAGGATGTAGAGAAATTGGAACCATCACATATTGTTAGTGGGAATATAGAATGAAAAAAACAGTTTGGAAGTTTTGCAAAATGTTAAACATTGAGCTACCAGCAATTCTACTCCTAGGTATATACCCAAGAGAACTGAAAACATGTTGAACACAACAACATGAATGTTCATAGAAGCATTGTTCACAATACTAAAAAAGTAGAAACAACCCAAATGTCCATAAATTGATGAATAGATGAATACAATGTGGCATATCCATACAATGGAATATTATTCAGCAATAAAAAGGAACAAAATTCTGATTCGTGCTACATGGATGAACTTCAAAATCATCATGCTAAGTGAAAAAAGTCAGACACAAAAGACTCTATATTGTTGGATTACATTTATATGAAATGTCCAGAATAGCCCGAATCTATAGAGACAGAAAGTGGATTAGTGATTGCCTGGAGCTGAGAAGGTAAGGGGGCTGGGGTGACTGCTAATGGGTTTCTGGTGGGGGGGATGAAAATGTTCTAAAATTGAATGTAGTGATGGTTGTACAGTTCTGTGAATATACTAAAAACCACTGAATTATATACTTTAAACTGGTGAATTATATAGGATGTGAATTATATCACAATAATGCTGCTATTTTTAAAAAGTGATCCAGGAAAATAGTTTGGTATTTCCTCAAAAAGTTAAACATAGAATTACTATATGACCCTGCATTTCCACTCTAGATACATACCCCAAAGAACTGAAAATAGGGACTTAAACAAATAAACATACACTCACGTTCATAGAGCACTATTCACAGTAGCCAAAAAGGTGGGAACAACCCAAATGTCCACCAACAGATGAGTGGATAAACAAAAGTGGTATACATATACAATGGAATATTATTCAGCCTTAAAAAGTAATAAAGTACTGATACATGCTACAACATGGATGAACCTCAAAAATATGCTAAGTGAAAGAAGCCAGACACAAAAGCCAGACACAGAAGCCAATCACATCGTGCATTATTCCATTTATATGACATGTCCAGAACAGATAAATTCATAGAGAACAGGTATAGATTGGTGGTTGCTAGGGGCTGGGGGATGAGGGAAATCAAGAGAAACTGCTTAGTGGATAAGGAGTTTTACTTTGAAGTGTTGGAAATATTATGGAAGTAGATAGAAGAAGTGGTTACACAACACTGTGAATATATCAAATGCCACCGAATTATCCTTTATAAAATGGTTAATTTTACATTTATGAATTTCCCCTCAAATAATTTGAGGGGAAATTCACTAAATGTAAAATTAACCATTTTATAAAGGATAATTTGAAAGAAAAAGCAATCCAAAAATCTAAGGTATTTCCATTTAAATGCAACATTTTAAAAGTTGAAAAGTGACTTCAAAAAGAAAGAAATTACTTTTACAAGTTGGGCTTGGCTTTTTTTTTTTTTTTGTAATCTAAGAAATTTGGCTAAATTTAAAGTACTCTGGGTAATCTTAGACATAAAAAGATATTCTCTTCACTGTCTTATAATAAATTATTACTATGAAATTAGTTCAGTTGGAGCTTTTGAAAGATTTATTTCATGATGTGCTTACAGATCTGAAAGAGTTGGAGCACCTCCCGAGTCCCTGCTGTCAGAGATTAACTTGCTAACTCACCAGCACAAGTCAGCTAAGAGCAAGAACAGCATTTGATTCCCAAAGGAAAATTCACACTAATTAGTATGAAACACTCTGCATCCTAAACTCTCCATAGTAAGCCTTAGTAAACTCCCAAAACCAAGATTTGGAATGGAAATTGGGGGAAATTATCTATATAACCTAGATAACAAAGGAATGGAGTTTAAGAGCAAATCATTCACATAACTGTCTCAGCTTGTTTTTAATTTAATTTGCTTGTGGAGACTATGTCCCTTAAACACTCAAGTGAGTTTCAACTAGATTCTAACAGTTATGAGAAAGAACCTCAGTTCAAAATAAAGGAAATATTTAAGCCTCTAATTATATGGGGGTAGTAAGGGGCATGTCATCTATTTAGAAACACACTATGGGAGAAGCAGCTGATCTAGTGTTTCCCAAATTCTACCTAGAATATTCTAAAACCATGAGGCAAATCTCATGAAGTTCTGTGTTGAATAGCTATAAAAAATAATCTGATGACTGAGTTATAAAATCTAATAAAAATTCAACGATGCTACTAAATGTTACAGTTATGAATATAGCTATTTATAAGCATACTAAATAAACAGATATAAATTTATAGAGTCTTGCTTGTTCCCTGCCACTGAGTTTTAAATTGTGATTTTATATTGGTTCACTTCCAACTGAAATCAAATCAAACAAAATATCTCTTAGATAATACTTTATGGTACATAACAAATTAAAAACTACATCTTCCTAAAGGAAGCTTCCAATATTATACCAATATTTAGCCTTCAGTTCAAGTGATTGCCTTGTGCGATATCACACAGGGCATCTCCAGAATCAACCGTGTGAGTAAATGAGAAAGGCGGAGAGGTAACCAGGCTCACTCTTCCCTTTTCATTCAGGAAGACAGGCACATTCCTAGCACTCACCATTCTCAGATCTCTTGGTTCTCGTTGAAGATGAAGTATTACAGCCCATGTCTTCTAGATTGTGTGTGTTCACGAGTCAATTTCTCATTCCAAAACAGCGTGAACAGTGCCTCTCTTTATGCTGTGGGGAATCACTCCTAGCTGAACCACTTCATAGATCCTGATGGGGAAGACACAGGAGGGAGAGAGGAAAGCACGTTAACAAGGTATCTAAGGGCTGCTCGGCAGGATTCATTTTATGCTTCTTCTCAACTGCTGCTCATCATGTGATGTGGAAAGTAAGTGATCAGACATAATCTAACCCTGGTTTATTTTCCACAACACAGCAACAGCAACAGAGCAGCTACAGATTACTTTTCTGTTGCACGTAAATTGTATTTTCTTTGTGTCTCGGTCAGATCACGGAATGCAGAAAATAAAGCATTAAAAATGAAAAGAAATGGAAATGTAAGAGCGTACAATTTTCTAACTCAAATATAGAGAATGGGATATGACTGACATAATTTTATGGTTTGGGTTTTCAACTCAAAATAATTAAATCTATCTGGGCTTTGAAAAACACAAATTGGAGACTATGAGACAAAAACAACATATTTAGACAACTATGCCAAAATTCAAATCAAAGTGAATTCTTTGACAATATTTCTCAGAATCAGCTGGGGCACTTGTTTTAAAAAAAAGGAGGCTCCATGCCCCCTGACTAAGGCATCACAATCCGTAGGAGTCCCTTTTTAAGCAAGCTCTTCAGGTTTTTTCTTTTTAAGTAAACCACTATTTAATTTTTTTTTTTTATGGTGACATAGGTTAATGAAATCCAGTAAGTTTCAGCTGTACACTTTAATAATAAGGCATATATATATTTACACTGTCTGTTCACCTCTCATAGTTAGATTTCTTTCTATCACCACATATTTGACCCCCTTTACCCTGTCTACCTCCCCCCATATTCCCCTCCGCCTCTCCTCTGGTAACCACTAGTCTATTGTCCATGTCCATGAGTCTCTGTTTGTTTGTCCTGTTCATTTGTTGCTTTTAGGTTTATATCCCACATATAAGTGATATCATGTGATTTTCAACTTTTTCTGTTCTCCAGGTATTTTTGAGACCCCGCCAAGTCTGCTAGCTCACCAGCCCTTCCAAAGAGTGACATGAAACTGCTACACTGATCTTCCACAATCACTCTCTGGGAGTTTGCAACAAAATTCCTTTCCTCAAGGTTTTTTTGGGTGATGTTTCTGAAGGGGACCACAAGTTTTGCTTTTGGGGATATTGATTGTTAAGCTGGTAATTAAGGAACAAAAGACTCAGAAATACCCTCTGACCCTCCCCTCTCTCCTAAGAGATTCAAATAGAAAACACCTGCTCCAGGAAGGGAATCTTTGCATAACCACCCTAGACAGGAAGACTTCAGCAGAAGCCTGTATACTAGACCCCTGTATATCCCACTGTTTCTGGGTTGCCTAGCAAAAATTTACCTGCCGTGTATTTTCCCCTCTTCCTCAACTACCTGTAAATTGCCTACTTCCTTTGAAATCTCAGACCCCTACCCCTCTTTCTCCTTTATTCAAAATGACATACATACTCAATTTTATTCAAAATGACATACATACTCAATTTTAACTCACTGTCTTTGGGATTTTCATGCTTATGTCAATTCCCCACACACATGTATTAAAATTTGATTTTTCTCCTATTAATCTGTCTCTGTTAATTTGATTATCGGCCCAGCTAGAACCTAGAAGGTGGGAGTAAAAGTATTCTTTTTAATCCCCACATTTTCTTCGTTTTGTGATGCTCCAAACCATCCTGATCTAATATATCTGCATTTCCAGATAGGTACAGTCAGAGAACAACTGATCCGGGACCCTACAGGGCATGTCTATTTTCCCATTAGCACTACACTAAAAGCTTTGAAATTTCAACTCAACTTAAAAAAGGGAGAAATTCAAATGAGCAAAATATTTGAATTATGGAAATAGTTTTAAAACAGTAACCTTAATAAACAGATATTCTGATCTGACCTAGGACTGATTCTTTTATGTATCGAATTAATTAACCCTCCTAAACTTTGGGTTATTTGCAAATTTGGTAGGCATTTCTTTCATATCTTTATTATCTACATAATGGATATAAAATATTAATAAGGTCAGCTCCAGGGGCAACACAAACCCCTGTGGCATTCCACTCCAAACCATTCTCGAGGATTACCACAGATCCATTACATTCACACCCTCTGAGCACATTTGTGCAGTTAGGTGGTAAATTCACCCATCATAGCTATCATCTCATTTATCTATGAGATGTACTTTATTTTGCTAAATATTTTGCTAAATATTTCAATGAAATTAGGGTATATACTTTGACACCTTGACATTCCAGTCTATCCCAACAGCAGAATAAGAGTGGAAGAGAAAAGGGAGGGAGGATGGAAGAAAGGAAGGAAGAAAATCAGTTTGGGATGATTTTTAATAACAGAATCATTGAAGTTTAAAGGTGGGAGAGACCTTTAAAACTACCTAGAATTTACACAAAATACAAGGAAGTTATGCAACTTGCCTAGACAAATTGATTGTCAAGCTTTGTTGCATATTAGCATCACCTGGGAGCTTTTAAAACTCCCAATGCTCAGACAGCACTTCATTAAATCAGAATCTCTGGGGGCTCAACAAATAGTGAAGACTGAGTCCCATCCCCAGAGATTCTGATGAAATTGATATTGGGTGGGGTCGGGCATCAGGATTTTTTAAAGCTCCCCAGATGATTCTAACATGCAGTAAAGTTTGACAATCTCTAATAGAGATAATGTTCTAGCAAACCCATGGTGACGCCTAGTGAGCATCACATTTTCCTCTAAATGCTTTGAATCCATCTGTTTGGAGCAAAATTTTTCCAGAGGTCATGTCAGGCTCATATGGCTGTGGCTTTTGGCATCTGCTCTTTTCTCTTCTTTGAAATTGGGGCACTATTTACACATTGCCTTCTCTTCATACTCAGGAATTTCTCCAAGGGTATCTGCGGTGCCTATGAGAACACATCTGCTAGAGCCTTCGTCAGGCTTCGAAGCACTTCATCTAGTCCTGCTGACTTTCTTCAAGCACCTACATTAGTGCTCTCCAGCATGAGTCTCACCAGACTTCCCAGAGGAGGGAATTCAAATATGCGGACTCCCAGGCTTCACTGCCAGTACTGGATTCAAGCAGTCTTGGGGGCCTTGGGAATCTGAATTAAAGGGCACCCTTTGGGGGATTTGATGCAGGCACTAGCTGTCTTCCTTAGGCTTCACTTCCATCATTATGCTATTTTTTCTACCCCTTTTTATGAATACATAAGAGCTGGGCATTGAGTAGGCAACAAACACTGATTCAACAATAAAGTGATACATTTCAATCTTGATTTTTTCCCAGAAAAATAAATAAATAAAGCTATATCTCTTCAAAGGCATCTGGTTCTCAGCCCCCCTCAGTTAATTTATTATACAACAAACAAGAGTCCATATAAAAGATTCGCTGCAAACTAAAAAGCACCAGACTTGAGTATATTTCTGCTAGACTCTAAGCTCCCTGGATATTTTTCTTTCTAAACACTACTTGAATCTCTGGTACCTGGACAGTGCCTTTCACAGAGCAGGTTTGATAAATGCTGAATGACTGAATGAATGAATATTTCTAAGCCAGAGTCCTTTAAAAAATTAATACCCAAAAATCATTATTAGTCCATCATTTTGTGCACAGATGCAGGCTCTTTGATTATAAATCTTTTATTAAACCAGAAAATGGGTAGTACTTATGCATCCATTTTTAAAGAAAATGTTAAGATCATGATGACAAGAAATGAGAATTGTTCCAGTGTTCTTTGGTTATTAGAAAAAAAATTGCTATTAGAATTTTTATATATAAAATAATAATTATTAAGCAAGTTATTTCGAAACTGTTTTTCTCCCTCAAGTAACAAGATAAAAAAGAAAAGAAAAAGAAGAGTGTCAGCTCATTTTCATTCTTACCAAAACAAGAGCTGTTAAGGCCAGGTGCCACTTACTACTCCCACACACTGCCCAACCTAGACTGTCATCACCCGCTTAAAGTCAGAGAGGGAAATAAGTTTTTAAACAGTGTATATGCCTTTGAGGACATCTCTGGCTGGCTGCAAAGCTGATAAAAATGATTTGGAGATTTTCCATTATTTGGGAAAACTTAAGCTTCTTTCATTTCCTGCCCTCTGTCAGCATTAGAAATGCATTTAGTGTGCTAAAGAAGTCTCTGAAGAAATGGTTCTCTCTGAGGCCTGAAAGGCTAAAAAGGCGAGGGGTTTCTGCAGCATTCAGGAAGACCCAAGGATGCCATAGTCACTGACACGAACTACCGAAAAGGTGGTTCTTGCCACGAAAAACACAGCTTGAAACTGTCCCTACCAATATATACATAGATTCAGAAGATTTTAAGGCATAAACATAAAATAGTGACTCATCATTGGCACTCACTTATAATTCACAAAAGGAAAGGTTTCTAAGGCTTCTGCTAAAAGGTTTTGACTGTGCGCGTGTGGAAGTGGGGTGAGGGGGGAGAACTGGAGGGTGAACGTGTTTAATGTCTCTCAGTTCTTTTCATCCTAACCACTTTTCATTTCCCAAGGTGAAAATACAAGGAAAGAACAAAAGATGGCCCTTGGAGCCAAGTTAACCTCAGCTACCAAACACCCTCCAAGCGTAGCCGAGTCTCCCCAAGTTGCTCTAATTCATTATTTTATTTCAAAGTGCATCTCTATTAACTCCCACACCTTGGTTCAGCTACCTTGACCTCGATTCCACCTTTGGCATTCTAGATGTGAATAGGGTGGTTTCTCATGCTAGAAATTCAGCTTTTCCTAGAGAAAATTCTGCTTTTATGAGAAATTCTTGCCCTAGCTCTGGCCCTAGGGAATCCAAATCTAGAACCCATAGTCATTCAGCTGGTAACACACTCCTGCCCCCAAAAGTTAAAGTTAGGTAGGCAGGTCTGATTCTTCTTCCTTGGACTGTGTAGACATGAGCATGGAAGACAGATACCTCTTCGGGCTCACCCTGCTGCATTACCTCTGGTATTCCTCGAAACAGGGGTCTATAGCCTGATGTCTGTGGCCAAAATGAGACACATCACTTGTAAAATTCTTAATCTTTTAGCAAGA